GCAGCATCCTGGGGCCTACCGGAAGCTTCTGGGCCCAGGCCAGTCCAGCCAGGCTGCCAAATGAGGCAGGCTCTTTCCATATAGGAAAGAGCTCGCTGCCTGGCCAGGGCATTCGCGCACTTTCTGGCTGGCGGCAGCGCTGCTGGAGCGATAGCTCGCGTGCTGGCTGCTGCCATTGGAGCAAGAGGCTGCGCACGTGCGGTCGTGTGGTGAAGCAGGGCGCTGCTGAGGGCAGCGCCATAGTCCAGCCTCCATAGCTGGCTGTGGGCTTGGACATACAGTGAGGCGCAGGGGTGGTCTTCGGGTGTTCAACAAAGGGAGACGTGGGAGAGAGTCAAGGGGGAGAGAGAAGGATGATGATGATGATGATGTGAGGGCACATACCTGTTATTGGCGATGGTTCTGCATGGGCGACATCTTCAAGTACTTCGGGTGCTGCTGGCGTCAACAGTTGCATTGTCAATTCGTAGGCTAGTAGTAGCTGTGTAGGTAGGCTGGGCGTCGAGCGCCAGGTAGGGAGATAGAGACTGGATACATATGTTGGTGGTGGTGAGAGCAAGCTCTCATTGACATTGACTTTCAGTACTACGATTCTCCATTGGTGTTATATTGGTGCAATGCTGCTTCCTAAACACTGTGTTACGATTTGGCTTTCAATGTGATTGTGCAATCTGAATATTGTCATCTCGCTTCTGTTCATTTTCCCTCGCAATTTGGTATTGGAGCTGGTTCGAACTGCGCTCATTGGTTCTTCGCATTTGCTGTTCGGTGCTTCGCATGAGGTGTGGGGCAGTGATAAGGCTTGGGCGTTGAACGTAAGGCGGCCCAGGGTCGTGTGGGCGCGCCAGGAAGCTATGTGGTGACATTAGGGGTGTACGCTGGAGGATGAGAGCTCGCTGATGTGGCATTTAAGCCGAGGTGGAACTACATTCTGCTGTGGGTTGTGCCGAGGCAAAGACCGGTCATCGTAAATGCACATCAGGTTGCTGGTGAGAAATCTGTGGTTGGGGGCAGCATTATGAGGTACGTTGCTCTCATCCTTATCTACCCTCTCCATCTCTTCTTACCATGAGGAAGTGAGTTCTGTCTTGAGAGTCCTCTCGATGTGAGGTGTTGCCAGCGCTCAACCTTGAGAGTTGACATTCTTCCTGGGCAGCAAGCTGGTGGGCGACGGGCGATGCCTCTAAAGGGCCCTGGACGAAGCACTCGGGTCACGGTCACCATGCCAACCCGCTGGGACTGGTACACGCATGCTTTGCCGCAAGTCCTTGGTTCTGCTGCTGCGCAATAGAGGTCATGCAGGGCATGCCAGCCCTTTGAGCAGACACTCTCCAGACCGTCTCTAAATATTTCTGGTGGGGACTCGGTGTTGATTCTGGCTGTGATCGTCGTCCTGTCTGGGACGTTAAATAATTCCTGAGGAGTTATGGGGGATCTCCTTAAATGCCTCCTGATCAGCCAGATCAAACCGGGTGTAAGGCTCGTTGCATGCGAGGATAAATAATGTGCAGGGGCTGGCAGGTTCGGCATTGACTTGGGGCACAGGGGTGGGCCGGATTGCACACCTTCAGACACGTGGGCCGGATTGCACACCTTCAGACACGCTGCTCAACCAGATGCGCAGGGCGTCGACACAGAGCGACTACTCAAGAGGGATACAGGGTGAGGGTTGGATTCCGGTAACTGTTCACTGTGGCACTAATTAGATAAACTGCCATCCAACATACATCATTGCAGGAGATGTTATTTTTATTTTTGATTATTTAGTTGTTACGGACTTGACTGACAACTGACAGACAACTGCAGATAGAGTAATCTTTGCTGCAATGCAATCTATATTAGAGTAATCTAAAAATAGATTTAATATCTTCTGTAGGATCTGACATTGGTTGACACCTAACTACCTAACTGTTTTTGTCCAGGCCGACCGAAGTTAGTTGTGTATCACAATCGGTTGTGTGTCATGCTGAGGCAGGATTCAGTGTGGATTCTAGTTTAGATCACACAAACTGTAGCTCATGAGTGATGCAAGCACTAGTGAGGAGTTGTTAGTGGACGACCGTAGGACTACTCGTAGAACTGCTCTCAGTCGACCTTTGACTTTCCTAGAGTTAGGTCCAGGAGACGAGAGGAGACTGCGGAGAGTGGCTAGAGAGAGAGCAGCAGCAAGGAGAGCGAGGGACGCCGCGGCCAGCGCTAGGTCTAGGACTACAGCTAGTACCGGTACGACCATGACTACTTCCTCTACCATGTTGCAGGCTTCTTCACAGGCCACTTCGTCAGGAGTTAGTCAGAGTGGTTCTCGGGTTTCCATTAGCCAGAGTGCTGGCTTGCAAGTCAGCCAGCAGACTCAACTCACGCCGCAGGATTATGAGATCCTCCAAGCAGAAGAACTTCAGGATGAGTTACAGCGGCAGTTGGATGACGCAGCAGAGAGGAGAAGGAGAGCTATAATGCGGAAAGTTAGACTAGGTAGTAGATTGCAGGAGCTAGGCAAGCTAGAAGCACTAGATGAGTCAACACTTGATCCTGCGTAACTCGCTCCTGTGTGTGGCGGAGACGCAGGTAGTTCAGCAGGAGGTGTTGGTTGAACTAGTGGCAGGCCAGAAACAAATTCTGGCTGCATTACAGGCTCCTCATCTATTGATGAGGCAACCTCAGTTTTCTGTAGCTCCCCCTTCGGGAGCGGGTCCATCAGTGACGCTGCCGCCGGTAGGGCCATCATTCTCACCCATGTTTGGCGTGCCCCCTCCGGCCTCCGGGTGGTTACGTAGCAATTAGTGGCCCGGTTCATAGAGTCTCAGCCGTAAGGCAGCAACAGGGCTATGGTCAAAATTTCGATGTTTGGGCCCAGTCTCAGACATTGGAACATTTCGTACGGATTGTGTATGCTAGGTGGCACGACCCTCAAGGTGCTCAAAAGTCTGAGTACCAAAAGGTACCGGACTGTTCGCGAAGTCACAGACGTCGTAGAAAGATTGATCGTGGTACCGGGTGTGCAGTATAACCCACAGGTACTCCTCACAGATTATTTGCGATGTTTACCTACAAACGTCAAGAATAAACTGGTGGATGAGGCCTATATAGACCAGCATGACTTTGCTTCTTTCAGCAAGAAGGCCTTAGATATAGAGGCAAAGCTTGGGTCCGCTCATCAGGGACCAGTAGATGGTAGGAAGAAGAAGCTTCCCCAAGACTGGAAGAAGAAAGGTCAACTCATGTTTGTTGACCACGATGGTCAAACAACTGAGATTGGCGAGTTCCCAGACTTAGGGGAGGAGACAGAGCAAGATGGGGCCAATGAGACTTCGGATGGGGGAGTCGTGGCACCCATCAGAGAAAAGGCTAGGGGGACCGAGAAGAAGAAGGTAGTACGGTCCACGGGCCAGGGCGACCAAGGAACGCCCGCCTGGGTAAAACTTGGTTTAGATTACGAGGTTTGGCGTGACCGAGTTGCTAGGGGTTCTTGCATGAATTGTGGCAACTATGGCCACACGTCCAAGACATGCCGAGGCAAAAAGGTCATTACGAAGGTGGCATCACCAACTGTGATAGGCTTATCTTCGAACCCTGACAATGCTTCTGCGAGCAC